AAAGAGAAAGTAGCTTTTGTTGAGCTCTACTCTGTGACAAGATTAAAGTTCAGACAATTAGGTTTTTTTTTTTTAAATCTTCATAATGACCCGTTCGTGGAATAGGCCTTGGCAGAATTTCCATCTGACAGCAGAGAAATTGAAGTTCAGAGAGGTTATGCAACTCACCTAAGGTCCCCCAAGTTAGGCCAGCATTGGAATTCACCAAGGCCCCTGGAAATCTCTGCTGCTGTCAGACATTGGTGCCAGTGGCTGATGACAACAGCAGGAATTGATACAAATGTCTAGTGAAAGAAATGAGGACAGTTTGTCCTGTGATGTAGAAAAATAGTTTCCTCCAACCCCAGTTGAAAACTTTGTCAACAGCTTAGTAAAATGTGGCTGATGTTTGACTCCCGTCTCAGGGTTTTCCAGAGAAATGGAACCAGTACAGGAACTGGCTCACATGATTACAGAGGCTGGGAAGTCCCACAACCTGCCACCTGTGCCACTGGCAAGCTGGAGAAACAGGACATTTCGTGGTGCAGTTTGTCCAAGTCTGCAGGCTTCAGAAACAAGGGTGTGAGTGGGGAGGGGCTGACAGTGTCAGTTCCCATCTGAGTGGGACCTGGAACCGGAAGTGCTGACCTCTGAGGGCAGAAGAAGTTGGGTGTCTGAGCTTAAGCAGAGAGCAAACTCACCTTTCCTCTGCCTTTTTGTTCTCTCTGGGCCCTCGGTGAATTGGGTGACTTCACCTGCGTTGGTGAAGGCCATCTGCTTTACTCTGTCCACCAACCCAGATGTGGATCTCTTCCAGAAACACCCGCACAGACTTTAAGGGATGCCCAGAAATAATGTTTCATCAGCTATGTGGGCATCCCTTAGCCCAGTGAAGTTGACATTAAATTAACCATCACAACCCCCAAATCACAGTGAAATAATGTGAGACCCAGATAAAAATATGCAACTAATTTTTAAAAATTTGAATTGCTGACTTCTGCAGCCAGTGGAAGCCTTGTAGGTCCTTGGGCTGTGTATTTGCTTCCTCCTCAGCTCTGGGAAGAACAGCCAGAAGATACTCTACTGCTTCCTCTCTCCCAATCTGGCTGGGAAGTCTCTTTCCCACAGTCCCAAGCCGGCTGACCTGGGGACTGGTGTGGCAGCTGTAGCTTAGGAGAACTGAGATGCAGAGGCCCACCCCATCAAGAAAGCCAGGGCCAGGAAGGATAAGCCCAGCATGCTGTCCTCCTTACTGCTGAGCACTGAGCGCTTGGTTCACATCTAAAGGGGAAGGTCAGGTCTCTTCCCAGACTCATGGCCCAACATAGACTCATGGTCCACAACTACCCATGTGTTTTGGTGAGAGTTGGAAGAAGTACCTCAGTGCAGTTCAGGAAAGAGTATTTTATAAAGCTAATGGGATTTGTGCAGAATGAAACAGACATTACATTGTTTATTCACCCCCACACCAAGTTTTCAGAACCTAGACCCATATGTGTGACATAGGAGATGTGAAGGCTCTCATTCCCATACAGGATCCATATCATGGACCCAGTCAAGCTTACAGGCTCTGCTTTCATGTGCAAAGACCTGTTCCACCTCCGCCCAGTTCAGAAAATGCTTAAAAATTGTTGAATGCAGACATCGATGGTTTTGTTCACCCTCAGCATGGAGATTTATCTGGGTGGGCCAAACAAGGGGTCCTTCTACTCAATGCGGTCTCACTATTCTGGCCCATCAAGCCAGTTCTTATAAGGAGAGAGGCTGGGAGCAACTCACTGACATAGTTGTGTCCTGGCCAAATCAGAACTCAGACTGGCTTGTCTTCTTGCTCTGGGGCTCTTATGCTCAGAAGAAGGGCAGTGCCATGGATAGGAAATAGTACCACATTCTGCAGCTGGCTCAACCCTCCCTGTTGTCTGCGTATAGAGGTTCTTTGGATGTAGACACTTTTCTTTCTTTCTTTCTTTCTTTCTTTCTTTCTTTCTTTCTTTCTTTCTTTCTTTCTTTCTTTCTTTCTTTCTTTCTTTTTTTTTGGAGATGAGTCTTGCTCTTTCACCCAGGCTGGAGTGCAGTGGCATGATCTTGGCTCACTGCAACCTCCACCTCCCGGGTTCAAGTGATTCTCCTCCCTCAGCCTCCCGAGTAGCTGGGCAGGAGCTACAGGTGCACACCACCATGCCCAGATAATTTTTTGCATTTTTAGTAGAGACTGGGTTTCACCATGATGACCAAGCTGGTTTTGAACTCCTGACCTCAAGTGATCCACCCACGTTTGCCTCCCAAAGTGCTAGGATTACAGGTGTGAGCCACCATGCCCTACTGGATGCAGACATTTTTCTAAAACCAATGAGCTGCTACAAAAGTCTGGCAAGAAGTGCATTGACTGGAAGGAGCTGTGATCCTCAACTTAAGGGGTGGTCTTTCTCCGTTGGTGGTTTTTGAGAAACTGCTGTTGAAGTATTTGCCAGTTATGAAGGCAAATGGAAAATTTCCGCAGTAATTCTTAAGTACTCTACATAAGGGAGCAAAGCTTCCATAAAGCAGCCTTGAACCAGGATGCCCAGAAATGGCAGCTTTATCCAGCCAGACACAGCAAAGGCAACTCTTTGGCCAAATGTCTTTCTCTGCAACAAGGCTTTGGCCTAAAATATGCAAGCTTCTCAGAAGACAGATGAGGTCAAATACTCACTCGGCTCTCCTCACCTCCCTTACCTTTATGGTTAATGTTGGAGAGGTGCACCTTTTTGGTACAGCTGTAGTTTGGTGCCTGCTGTTCCTTTGTTTTACCTGGAAGGTTAGACTTTCAGTAATAAGGTGTTGGGGTGCTTTTGCTGAGAAAGGGCTCCCCTGGGCCCAACCCGGCAGGCATTCCAGTTGCAGCCAGATACACCGTCCCCTTGATCTTTCAAGGATCCCTGGGGCTTCTCCTTGAAGGAAGCAGGAGGGTGATTTGCAAGTTTCTAGGACTCTGGCCCAGAAATTAGGGATCAATTTTCTGATTGTAGTAGAGGTGAAGGTTCCTAAGGAATAGTCCTGAGTGTGAGCCTTAAGAGATAGGGGATGAGAGAAGTGGGCTGGATGTTGTTCATCCTGTTATTCTTTGAGTGTTTCATGGAATCTGAACAAGGACAAGGAAAAAAGGGATTTTTTTTTTTTTTTAATAGAGGAAGGATGATTTTCTCCTAGGGTCATTCTAAGTTAGAGTTTTTAAGGCAGCACAGACTGCCAAATGCTGTTTTTTTGTGCACTGAAATCACTTTGGGATATTTTTCTGCCACACTGGGACGTTTTAGTTTTTAAAACAATGCTTATGCAGATAATGCATTTTTTCTTAATGCTTTTTTTAAGAGACGGTCTTCATTGGGTTTGCGCCCTCCCACCCTTGATCTTGTTAGAGTGTCATTTTTGCTGTTCTCCAGGTGAAAGCGTTAACCCTGCACAAGTTTGGTGATAAAAAATTGTTGAAGTTCCAAAAAAAAATTTTTATAGTGCTGTCCCTCTGCTCAAAGCCATCAATAGCTTTTTATGACATGTGTTAATTTCCTATCGCTGCTGTCACAAATGACCACAAACTTAGTTTAACGCAACACAAATCCATTATCTTACAGTTCTGGAGTCAGAAATCTGACCTGGTCTCACGGGGCTATAAACAAGATGTTCTCAGGGCTTCATTCTTTCCGGAGGCTCTACAGGAGAAAGCTGTTTCCCTCCTTTTCCAAGGGTCCAATTCCATGGAACAGAAGTACTGTCATTTTGTCAGGCAAACATCTAACTTTCTAAGTTGACAGAACTCAAATATTATACCTAACTGCTACATTATGTCATACATGTTTTTTAAAATACATGTTTGGCTTTGTTTCTTATTATACTTGGTTACATTTCCAGCTTCTAGAGGACACCCTCTTCCTTGGCTCTATTCCATGTCTTCATCTTCAAAGCCATCAAAGTCATTTCTTCCTGACTCTTTTTTGTAGTCACATTTTTCTTTGTGACCATGGCTGAAAAAGTCTCTGCTTTTAAGGACTTAGGTGATTAAATTGGGTGCAACTGCATTCTCTCCGCCTGTCAAGGTCCATGGTACGTTTAATCACATAGTGAAGTCCCTTTGCCACACGAGGTAACATATTCACAGTCACTTTGGGGGCCATTTTCTGTCTACCAGAAATAAAAAACTCACAAAGCATGACCTTACTGTTTCTAACCTAACTACACCACCTCTACAGGTTTTGCTTCCAGTCACAGAGTCTACTAGGCTCCATTTGGGTTTGGGGGCAGGTACATATCTACTGTCCCTCTGCCTGACACCTGCCTTTGATCTTCTCTTTGTCCTCCCAACACCACTTACTTCCAACTCGTCCTCAAATTTCAGCTGCTACATCCCTTCTTCAGAGATGCCTTCCCTCACTATAGCCATTGAACCGGACTGAGCTCCTTATAAGGTCCTAAAACTTATCCATCATCATATTAGCCATAATTTGTAATTTTTTTCATGTGATACTCAACAAATGGATTAGTAGCACAATGTAATGATTCTTTTTGTTAGTTTGTTTGTTTTTGATTTTTAAGATTTGTCTGCTATTGAATAGTGTAGTGATTCTGAGGCCTGGGTTAAGGTCCTTTCTCTTCTAGTAACTAGTTGTATGATATTAGGAAAGTCATTTGATTGCTTATTGCCTTAATTTCTTTATCTATAAAATGTATTTATGATATTAAGAATAAGTACCCCCTAAATATATACACCTACTATGTACCCACAAAATTTAAAATTATAAACTAAAAAGAAAGAAAAAGAAGAGATTGTTAAGAAAATGAAAAAAAGATTAAAAGAGTTTTTATGTGCAGAGTTCTTAGAACAGTGCCTGTCAAATAGTAAGCACTGATACATATGTCATAGATCAAATATATATTTATAATTTATTTATATATAAATATTTATGTATTTTGTATATTTATATTATATTGTAGATACATACTTACATAAGATAGTATTATATTATTATAGATATAGTTATATACGATATTAGGTGAATTTTAGAAATATTACTATATGTCTAGTGCCTAGGGTGTAATAGTTGCTCAGTAAGTCTTTGCTGAAGGAAGGAGAAAGGGAGGGAAGAAAGATACAGAAATCTCTGCTCTTTAGCAGATTTTCTGACATCTCCTTAGTCAATATTATGCAGGCAAAGCAGCCATAGCAACAGCAGGAGTAACATAACATGTCATTTTTCGTGCTTTGAAGACCTGTTTTCATAGATACAGTGCAATGTCATTGCTCTTGAACCCATTTGCTTGATAAGCAAAATCTAATTGCTAGGAAATACAGAAGTCGTAAACCACCTTGGATAGCAGGATGAAATGCTAATAGGTACAAGAATGTTGCCACAAAGCTCACCAATTAATTATTTGAAAGTGGGCTTGGGTAAAGAAAATAGCACAAAGAAAAAGAATATGTTGGAAAACAGCTATTCTGAGATAGCTGGAGACACAAAAGCAGCTCACCAGAGCAGACATTCTGCTCCTTGATAAAGCTAACAAAACAGTGGACCTTATTGATGTAGCTGTTTCCTGCAGCAGAAGCATCACAAAAATCTGTCCAGACAAAACAAACAAGTATGCAGCCCTGGCAGAAGAGCTGACGTTAAGTGTGGAAACTGAGGAACATCAAAGTCAAGGCAGCTATCATCTTGGCAAGAGGGATGTTGTTCTCTGCACAAGCTGTACATCTGGAGGGTAAGGGGCTCGATTCAGAGTTGTATGGGAAACAGCACTGGCTTTTACTTGCCCTGTATTCAGTGTCCATTTTAGCAAAAAACCCCTCATTTCTCCTGGGTTGCCAACACTCTATCCACAATCATCATGGGAGCAGGGGAAACTGACCCTACCCAGGGCTACAGGAATTAGCCATGACCTGGGTCTGGCTTCAGAAAATGCTACATCTCCTTGGCCGCAGCAATTGGTCCAGAAACAAGGATGTGGCACAGCTGGGACCAATGAGGCTATTTCCCTTGAAATTTCGTGGAAACTAATAGGGAAGGGAAACTCTATCTAGAAGGTTGTTAAACTTGTAGATGCATCTCTGAGCTCCCCATGGCCATCTTTGTCATCACTTGGGGAAAACTTGGCTGAAATACAAAGCCAACAAGGAGGAAAGAGGAGCTCAGAGGTGGAGAAAGGACCCTGGAGCCATGATACCCACTTGATTTTCCAGGAACGTGAGCCCAACATTCATGTCTCTTGTGGGAGGATGTGCCACATATAACCTACACAGTACTGACAGACTCAGGAAGCCTCCAAGCACAGGTGACCTCGAGGTAGTCCCCATAACTCAGCATGGAAACTTGAGTTTTGGCCCAGGAACCAAGACGTCCCTCTAGTCCCCCAGACATCCCTTGTGACCTCCTGTCTCACTGAAGTTCTTATGTTCCAAGCAGCATTGAGCCCCTCCGTCTGTGTTCAAGTCATTATCTCTCTGCTGGACTGTTTTCGTTTCCTTTGTCCTGCCCTCAGTGAACTGTTCCTTGGTCTTGAAGGTCTTTGGTTTGAAGGACTTCCTTCTTGCCCCCAAATGAGCTGATCACCCCTTTCTTTTTGTCATCTCTGAATTCTCACAACACTTATGAAGTAGCTCTGTAAGCTATTTGTCCCCTATCTGTCTCCCTACTGAACAGTGAGCTTCCTGAGGGTGGGCACCAGGTCTGGTTGATCTCCAATCCCCCCACCAGCTTACTCAAGGCCCAGCCCAGCAGTCAGAGAGCCTGTGGACAGACAATGAGGAACAAATGAAGTTCTGTGAGGCCAACCAGACCCTTGATGTTGAAAAGCTCTGTTTAGGGGTTTAGACTTTATCTTGAGAGCAACAGGGAGCCTTTTAGGGGTTTAAGTAGAGGAGAGGCAGAACCTTGCTTGGGGTGAGACTCCCTGGCATGTTGACATGGCCGCCTTCTTTGCCCACATAAGAAAGCCCCATACCTGAGTTCCACTCTAGTTCTGATGTTCTGAGGTTTCTCCTTAGGTTGTGCTGGTCCCTCCACTGGGTCTCCATGCCACACCTATGCTTTGTATTCCATGCTGGGACTGCCTGCTGTGGCATCTTGACTTTCCCTATTTATAGGATGTTTACCTGGAAAATATCCTAAAAGTACCTCCACTCTTTGACCCTGTGCTTTGCTGCATTGCTTCCTCTTGTTGGCTGGAGTGGCCAGGCTGCTGTGGATTCCAAGCTCAGAGCTCCCGCTACAAAGCAGATTTGGGACAGAAGTGTGTTCATTGGTAATTTTAAGACCTTGTTGCCACCTGTTCACACAAGGCCAAACCCAGAGGAGGAACAAGGAAGCCATGGGGCCAATGACTCAGTTCTCCTAAGAATGCAAACTTCTCAGAATCATTCACATTCAATGGTCTGCCCTTCTTCAGTTGGTGAAAAACCAGCAGAGATGAAGCAAAAAAATGAAGTTTTCTTATGTCCGGCTTTTAGATTTATGTAGGCACATTACCTGGACAATGGAATGAATTCCTCCCTTATCCTACATGTTGACCCTTTTGCAGCCACAGCAAAAGGATCCTGGCAAAAGTTCAATTCCATGGAACAGAAGTGATGGCATTTTTCAGGTAAACCTCTAAGTTTCTAAGGTGACAGAATTCAAATGTTACACCACACTACCACAGTAGGTCACACATGCTCTTTTAAACACATATTTAGATTTGTTTTATTATAGTTGGTTATGAGGCTGACAATGGTACCACGTAGTACTTTGATATGAGAGAAAAGTGAATTGATGCAATTTGAGAAGTCTTTGAGGGGTCCAAAGGATTCCTCCATACAAGAAGAAAAATAACTCATGAATAGTAGTAGTGGTAGGGTATGAGGAAGGAGGAGGATGGGAATTATTTTTGAGAGTTCATCTTCTCAAGGGAAAAATCAAAACCATTCAAGTGGGCTACGCAGGAACCCACCATGAACTGAAGGCAACGGGGCATCTCATTGGTCTCGTTTCCTGTTGAATGTGAAAAAAGTGCAGGGACCTTACACAGATGACTGCAGATCAGGGAAATCTCTTCTGCTGTAAAAACAGAGAGTAACTATCATAAAAATCTGAATTTAAAAAGAACAAAAAGAGGCATAGTTGCCCAAATCGTGGGGAATTCCTTTGTTAGATTTCAGGAAGAAATTAAACGGAATGCAAGAAAAATGCTTGATCTGTTGTCTACAGCTCTTTAGAAGATGCCTAGGATGAAACAGAAATCTTGAGTTCAAAAACTCAATTGTCTATAGGGACCAGGAAACTGACCTGAAAGAACAAAGCTGGACCTGGTGGGAACCGTAAGGAAGTGGAGAGAACAGCCTTCTCTAAAAGTGGCGGCCCCTTCCAGCTCCTGCTCAGGGCTGCCATGCGTGGATGCCAGATTTTCTGATTTTTAATAGAACAGGAATCTTTGTTTTTTATCTTTATTTCAAATATCCTTAATTAAAAATTCTGATAAAGAAAATGTATTTTTGGCTGGGCATGGTGGCTCACGCCTGTAATCCCAACGCTTTGGGAGGCCAAGGCAGGTGGATCATGAAGTCAGGAAATCAAGACCATCCTGGCCAACATGGTGAAACCCCATCTCTACTAAAATACAAAAAATTAGCCAGGCGTGGTGGCGGGTGCCTGTGGTCCCAGCTAGCAGGACTAGCAGGGAGGCTGGGGCAGGGGAATCGCTTGAACCCAGGAGGCAGAGGTTGCAGTGAGCCGAGATCACGCCACTGTACTCCAGCCTGGCGACACAGCAAGACTCTGTCAAAAAAAAAAAAAAAAAAAAAGGAAGAAAACACTTTTTTTTAAAGGGAACCATTAAACAGACCTCAACATTCTTCACAAAGAGAGAAGACACTGGGAAGTATCTTGGGTTTGGTTTCCCCGGAAGTGGACTCTGAGACAAGGATTTGCAAGCGAGAAATTTATTTAGACAGTGATCTCTGGAATTGCTGGCAGGGCAGTGGGGAGGTAATGTGGGGCAGAGAAGGCATCCACTAAAATTTGTGCTAAGGAGCAGCATACGCCTGTGCATGTCAGGGCTCAATCCCACCGGGGAACCCTGGGACACCCAGAAGCGATGCCTTGGAGTTGTTCCCTTTGAGGGAGGAGGAAACCGAGGCATTTATTCACCACTCCTTTCCTTCTTTGGTAGAGTGCTGCTCCCAGAGTGTTCACTCATTGGCATTTCTGTTCAGCATCATGAGGGCTGAGCATCTCTCACGCACAGTCCCAGGTTCTGGCAGGACACAAGAATGGTGGGTGTTGGGGGTTACAGATGGCACACTAACAGCGTCCTCATATTATGGGCTGATCTCGAAGACTTGATTGACCAAGCCTGATTGTGAGCCAAAATAATGCGTTTCTCCTCCTTAGGTACCCCGGAAAGAACACCACTTTGCGAACCCCACTAAATAAGAACTTTCTTTCTGCTGGACTATGACTGGTGATGTGCTGCGACTCTTTGGTAATCATCCTTGGTGGGATCAGCTGGGGCTATTTCTCGCATGGCATTTTGAATGAGAACTCTACCTCCAAGTGGCATGATTTCCAGGGCATCAACATTGCCAGACAGTAACAGATCTAAGTATGGAGTCAAGAGACCTGGCTCTGGCACTAGCATACCCTGTGATGTTGGCCTGCCGGTGAGCCTCTGTTTCTCTGTCTACAAAAGGCAGCAGTCAGACAGATCTCTAATTCTGACCCCAGGCCTTCAGATTTTGCTCTGCCTAGGGGAGGAGAACCTGGCTTGAGGTGGGATAATGCTGTCACAGGGACAGCACCTGGCAGTCATCCAGTGAGTGAACTCTTAGCTTTGCTACCCAGATCCGGAGAACCTCCTGGACAGGGTAGCCACAGGGAACCCAATCTCTTGCTTTGCTTATTCACAGGGAAGTCAATGACTCTCTGAGCTATAGGAAGTGCTATAACCTGGGAGGTTAAGACAGAGAATCTGGGCAAATGCTTCTCTTTCCTAGGGAGATGTTGGTCTGGAAGGGGCTTGGTTCATAACGATATGAAGTCAGCAGCTTGCACCAGGTATCTGTCACATCTCAAGCTTTGAACAAGGTAGGTGATGGATAAGGGAACTTCGCATTCACTTTTATCCACAATGTCAGGGCACCCTGGCCACCCTGCCCGAGTGTTTCAATTTCCTCACCCTCCTGCCTCCCCCATGCCTTTCATCAAGCCTTGGAGGTAATTGCTCCATGCACAAACAGCTTGCGGCCTAGTGTGCAAGTAACAATTAGTTTAGAGGCTGTGATCTATAAATTTTGAGGAGAAGGAAAGAGGCCTTGGTGCACTTGGGCTATCGTTTCTAATGAAGAAAAATAGCACACCGGAAGGGATCCAGAGTGTTATTGAAGCAACTTAATATCATCTGGTCATGATTTGCAGGCCTTGATAATGTCTTGTGATCTTGGGGGAAAGAAAAAAAAGGGGGTGGGGGAGTAAGTTGTTGTTGTTTGTGTTTCTTAGAAAAAAAAAAAAAAAAAACCCTCACTCTGTGTTTATGAGATTTACGACATGCGGACCACCATCTGTATAAACCCCACCAATCTTCCATCACTGTCTCTTCAGCTCTGTAAACTAGACCGTCCAGAGAGGGACACCATAGGAATGTCGTCCTATTTATTGTTTGTAAAAATAAACTGGCCGGCCAGAGATGTATGTGAGGAATTTACACACAGCAGCTGCACAAGCAAGTGTGCGAGGGACGCGGGGGCTGAGGAAGTCGGGAGGGGAGGCGATGTGACCCCCAGCACAGCGCACGCCCTCTCCCATCAGCCCGGAGAGGACCACTTTGGGAGATAAAAGGAAAGGCGGGGAGGTGGGAGGGAGGGAGAGAGCCAGATTCAATATCCAACCAGGTCAGACCCCCTTTCTCTTTGTCAAACCAAAGCGTTGCTGCATTTGGAATGCTGGCCTAGAAAGAGCACATCTTCCTTCCAAGAGGAGACACTGGGATGAGCCCCGAGGGGTGGCCATGTGTTCCTTTTGGGGACCAAAGAGCAAAACAAGAAACAAAGCCCCATCAGAGTCTTCCTGATGAGTCGCTGTTTTAAAAGCAGGGTGCGGTCTGTTTTTGGCTTTGACTAGGGAGCAGGATCGAGTAGGGGTTGGCCCCTCTCATGAAGCACGTAGGAAGCACATGCTTGGCTTCTGTCAGCCAGCCCCTGCCACAGAGCCTCATACTGCTGGTCTGAGCTTTGCTACTTATGTGTTAGCTGGGCTGTCTCAGGAAGGTCCAGGCAGGAGGAGGGCAGATCTGCTCTCTTTAGATTTGTCTCTGAATCCAAATGACAAAGACAAGACTAAGATTCAGAAGTTTAACAATGTCATGGTTGAAATAGCAGCAATAAGCCAGGCACAGTGGTTCACGCCTGTAATCCCAGCACTTTGGGGGTCAAGGCGGGCAGATCACAAGGTCGGGAGATCAAGACAATCCTGGCTAATATGGCGAAACCACACCTCTACTAAAAATACAAAAAAAAAAAAAATAGCTGGGCGTGGTGGTGTGCACCTTTAGTCCCAGCTATTCAGGAGGCTGAGGCAGGAGAATTGCTTGAACCCAGGAGGTGGAGGTTGCAGTGAACTGAGATTGCAATGCTGCATTCCAGCCTGGGTGGCAGGGCAAGACAAAAAAGAAAGAAAGAAAGAGAGAGAGAGAGAGAAGGAAGGAAGGAAGGAAGGAAGGAAGGAAGGAAGGAAGGAAGGAAGGGAAGGAAGGAAGGAAGGAAGGAAATAGCAGCAATAGATAGCCCCATGAGCCCCTTTTATTTTATAAGTGGGAAAATGAAGGCCCAGGTGGTAGAGCAACACCCACCCTGCGAGTGGTCAGGACAAGGCTGAGATTAGGCCTCAGGTCCCCTGGCTCATGGGAGCCATCCTTCCACCAGCCTTCCAGCCAGTCTGCATCCCTTTGCTCATGGCCTGGGGCTTTCTGTCCCCTACAGTTCATTCTCCAGACAGAAGCCAGAGTGATCTTTAAAAATGTTAGGTCAACCTCCTATTTAAAGCTACTCTGTGGCTTTTAATAGCAATTGGAATAAAATCCAACGTTCTTATACTACATGATACAGCCCCTGCCAATGTCCCCAAACTTCTCGTCAGAGCTCTCGGTGGAACCTGTTAGCTCTAAGCACAATGGCCTTCTTTCTGCTCCTGGACCATGTCAAGCACCCACTTCAGGGCCTTTGCACCTGCTGTTCTTTCCATCTGGAATCTTCTTCTCTGAAATTTTCTTATTGCTACATCTTTCTAACCACTTGGTCTAGGCTTCAATATCCCTTCCTCAGAGAGAGCTCCCAGACTGCTTATCTAATACTGCATCCCCCTGCCACAAGCCACTCTCAAGCTCATTGATAAGCTTTATTTAGAGGAAAGAAATCTTTCTTTAGAGCATTTAACACAATTGGAAATAAAATATTTACCTGTTTGTTTATAGTTTTTCTTGGCTCACTATTTGTCTGCCTTAAGAGTGAAAGCGCTTTCTTATCTTTTTGTTCTCATCTGCATGGTGTCATCATTCATTCATTCATTCACTCACTTATTCAGCTATATTTACTGGATTCACTTGTAACTGACGATTCCAAAGAAATCTACATTCCAGTAAAGAAAGTAAAATAATAAACATGTAAGCAAATAAATGATAGATTATATCTCTTAGGATTATGATAAGTACTCGATTTTTGAAATTTAAAATAGTTTATTAGTGTAAAGTTCTGAGCCCAGTGCCTGGTACTTAGTATCTGCTTTGCAAACATTGAAGTTTTGTGCTAACTCAGCACTAGAGATTGTTAGGTAAACCTGTCTTCAATGAATTTATAGTCAAATGCAGGAGACTGATGTGTTTAAAGATAAATTATATTAGATGGGGCTACTATCTCTTTAGAGAGGTTAACTGAGGCCAAGAGGCCATTGATAAGATCATCGAGCCCGCTGGAGATGTTTGGATGAGCAGTCATGCACAGCAAGAGGTTAGAGAAGATGACCTCTTAAGGCCTCCTGCTAGCTTGACCCTGTTTTGCCTGCTCCGTGATGTGGCTCCCATTTAGCCAGAGCTGTTTAAATGGGTGTAGACCATAAGGGGCGTGGGGGCGGGGGAATGACATGCAGTTACTCCTGCAACACTCATTTGCCTGCTAACTTAGTGCCATTTACAAATGGTTTTCACATAGTCTTTAAAGTAGGGCTTCTCAACCTAGGGGAAGAAATCTTGAAACTGCACGCATCATACTTTGTGGATATACCAGGTGTATAGACATACTTTTTTTTCCTGAGGAGGACAATAGCTTTCATCAGTGTTTCCAGGGCATTTTGTGTCACAAGCACCACTTAGTTAAGTTGACAACACTTAGGGTATTTCAGAATTATGAACTTATCTTCTAATTTCTTTAAAAATACAAAGCTTTCCTTCTAATTTGGGGTGAGATTTCTAAACCTACTAAATTCATATAGTTTTATATTTGCTGATTCAATAACTATTTATTAAGCAACAGGTAGGGCCCAGCATTGCTGAAGGTTCTGCAAAAACAGCAAGACCCTGTCAAAGGAAGTTCCTGCTCTAAGGTTCCCTTTTGGAAGGCAAGGAGAGAAGAGACTAAACAAGAAAGAAACGCAAGGTAATCTCAGTTGGTGCTAAGTGCTCTGGAGAAATGAAAGCTGAGTGATGCCATAGAGAAGGAAGAGGGCATTGCCTTCTATTGAATGGTCGGGGAAGGTCTCTTTCCCAAGGGAGCATTATAACAGATACCTGAATTGGCAAGATAGAGTCAGCTAAACAAAGATTCAGGAGAAGAATATTTCAGGCATTTTAAGCAAAGACAACGGCTTATGCAAATGTTCTGAGGCAGAAATCAGCATGGTGGATTCCAAGGATGCAATGAGGCAGTGTGGCTCTAGAGTCATGAATAGGGGGAGAGGTGCTATAAGATGAAACAGAAACATAGGTGGAGGCAGGATCTCCTAGGACCTAGTAAGACTTGATTAAGAGTTTGAATTGGATTTTCATGCTGTGGGAAATCACTGGAAGTTATTACCAAGGCCTCATAGTTTCCCATGGCATGAGATGCTTCTGACAATATGAATGTGTTCATCTATTTGGACAGAATAGCAATGCACCCTTATTCTTTTAAGAAAAGACATTGGGTGTGGCCTTCCAAATTTAGTTTAGAATATCACTTTGTATGCCATAAATATGTACAATTTTGTGTCAATTAAAAATAAAACAAACCAAAATACCCTCACCAACAAGCCCTGCAGGTGAAAGATACTCTGCTAAGGTACACTGAGAGAATGCAAGGCCACCTGTGCTTCAAGAAGGCAATCTTTCCTATTACAATGCAAAGCAGCTTAGCTCACTAGTGTCTTCAACCTCTGCATCATAGATGGGGAGAGTTGGTGCAATTCTGCATAAGCAGACAGCCTCTTAGAGCATTTTTCTCAAAATAAAGCTTATCTTTCCTCAGATTTTAAGTGAGCCTTTATTTCTAGAAGAAAACAAATCAATAAAAGCATGCACATAGCTCTGTGCTTGCATTTATAAAATTAATTTAGGAATGGTTTTTTTAAAAAGTTAGTGTAAAACTATCCCAGATTGGGTCGTTTAGGATGCAGACTCGGAGATAGAGATTATCAAGTGGGAAGTTTATAAAGGAAGACTCTTGAGATCGAAGCCTGTGAGGGAAAATGAGGAAGCAGAATCGGGGCTGAGGGAGTGGCTGGGCTGTGATGCTGTCACAGTAATGCAATGATTCCATGGAGACCTCTGAAGCTGGACTGGCTCTTCAGAATGGTCCTAGTTGAGTGAGGAAGCCAGGACTTTGCATCACTGATCTAGACTAAACATCTTAAGTAGGCTACCTCTAAAAGGAAGGGACTTGGGCAAGGCAACTTTCTTTAGCTGAGGCACTATCTGAAGAGGGCTGATAGCTGATGACTGTCTACTACTGTAGGCAGTAGCCCAACAGCTGGAGCAACAGTTTTCTTCTCCATAGGTGGAGCTGATCGGGGGGGAAATATGGGTGTAAAGTGGAAAAGAAAAGCATCCCTTCTCCCTGATTGCTATACTCCATCTGCTCCACAGAGGTAACCGTATTTGATTGTTCCTAGTTTTAGTTTCTCCAAGTTGATTTCAAATGTCCACATGCAATGCACACAACTCTACTTTTTGGTCTATGAATTTTGAACAGTGTTTTCCAGCTTCCTCATAAGAAATATGAGGGTCTGAACTAATTCTCCCCATGTCCTTCATCCAATTTTGTTAGGTATTTTCTGTTGTCAAGTTTTTCTGTTGGAGGGCTTTATATGTGTTCAATAATGTATTTCTATTTTCAGATTTATTAACATTATGTCATATCATCTCTCTTGACACTGCAAGATTAAGGAAATTAGCATTTCTACATAGCCCTCCCACTTTCTTTAATTCCTGTTAGTCATAGGAGTATTTTCACATTGTCAAGGTTTATAACACTTTATGTTCTATAAGAATAATCAGTAATCAGTATTTTCCTATAAGTTAAAACCTCATAAACTGCAGTGAAAATATTATGATTATGTAAATACATTTGTTACTGCAGGGTTTATCCTGTTATTTGACCATAGTAAGATAACATCTTCATAGATTAAGAGATCATTATGTGGATATCTTTGATGGGGGTCATTATTCTCTCTACCACGTATGGCGATCCTCTGTTGATAGAATCCTTTGTCTTTTATTAGTCTTTTTTCATTTGCTTGTTAAAAAAAATTGGGGGAGAGATAGGCAGGAAAAAACCTTGAGTCTTTACATGTCTGAAAAATATCTTTACCTCATCCTCTCATGATTTGTATAGTTGAGCTGAGTATAAAAATCTAGACTCAAACATTTTAAAAATAATGTTCAGATCCATCCATTTACTTCCTGTATTCTGTATTATTTGTAACAAGTCAGATGAAGCTTTGTCTTTGTAGTTAACTGTTCTTATTCTCTGTAAGTTTTTATAAGAGTATTTTGAAATGTGGGTTTTTTTTTTTTCCAATCCTACACAGTATTTGGTGTTTCTGTTCAATATGAACTTTCATGTGTAAAATATTTTTGGCTATATTTTTTATTTTTTTAACAGCTTTGTTGAGATATAGTTTTCATATGGGCATATGTTAGAGACATTGAAGGTTCAGCTCCAGACTATTACAATAAAGCAAATATCACAATAAAGTGAGTCAAAAATTTTTTTTGTTTTCCCAGTGCATAGAAAAGTAATGTTTATACTATATTGTAGTGTATTAAGTATACAATTGTATTATTTTTAAAATTAAATTAATTAAATTATTTAAATTAATTAAATTAAAAATATGTTATTGCTAAACAATGCTAACACTCTTCTGAGCCTTTAGGGACTTGTAAATTTTTGCTGGTGAATGATCTTCCCTCAATGTTGTCAGTC